CATCCACATAAACACTCCGTGGAAATGGTGTTATCTCACCACGGATTCTCAGGGTTCCACAGAACACACTGGCTAGCTGTACTCCCTGAATCTTCAGGCAATCAGTTCAAGTGAGACACTCTACTCTCAATTATAAAATAGACAGAGATCACAGAAGATACTCAGTGTTTACTTCTTACCTTCCGATGTCACTCAACATATGTTCCCATACATGCACATGCTGATACACACATGGAAGCATAGCACATACATATGCAAACACAAGAATGGTAGGATAAAGAAAGGTTCAAAGCAAATGTTTTTCAAAGAAAGTATTTTGGTATTCAAAAATGTAAGTTTGTAACCTACTATATTTCAGTTGTTACTGTACAATACTCAAGATAAAAATGAATCAAACAGCATCATAAATACTCAGAGAATTGGCTTGGTAGACTACATGCATGAGGATCTAAGTTCAAATGCCCAAAACACAGATAAAGCCAGACAGACTCATGAACATCTGTAATCACAGGGTTTCCACAGCAAAATGAGAGACAGAGACAAGAGAATCCTGGAAAGCTTGGGGCCAGCTATCCTGCGGTAAGCAGCAACAGGTAATAGGAGAGAATGTCTCAAACAAGATGGAAAGCCAGCACTGACACTCATAGTTGTTCTCTGATACACACACACACACACACACACACACACACACACACACACACACCATCCAAACTGCAAACCAGCTGTACAGCTATAAGCCTGACAAGTTAGTCTCATTAAACACCACAAAACAGCTCCCCCCCATCACTGATTTTCCATATCTCACCAAAGATGCTCATTCTTATCTCCTTCAGTCTATTGTGAGCACAGAACTTTGACCTTCAGAATGGTCCAGATAAGATTTCCTTCCTTCCTTCCTTCCTCCCTCCCTTCCTTCCTTCCTTCCTTCCTTCCTTCCTTCCTTCCTTCCTTCCTTCCTTTTATTATGTGGGGAACTGACACTTAAATGGGATAACATCTAAGGCAGAACAAGACCCCGCTCCAACATCTGTGGGAGTTAGAGCCTTTCTGCTGTATCAGTCCCAGGGGACAAGACATTCAAGCCTGCAGTAGAGCCCAAGGGGCTCTTCTTTGTGTCCATTCTAGTTTTGGATGCTTGCTCTGCCTCAATACTTAGTCCGTAACTTTCGATGCCTGTGAGATAAAGAGATCAGATGTACAAAGTGTGAAGGGCCAAGTAAAGTGTCCTTTGTCCAGAACTATCTAGCATTGCTGTCCCTGAGCTCAGCAGGGGTTCGGAGCTGAGTTTCCTGATGTCCATTGATCCATCCTCTGTAGACTCTCCAGCTCTGGAAATCTCTCACTGCTGAATCTGACCTGATTCTGGTGAGCCATTCATGACTACCCTAGCACTTCACGACAGGCTTCTCCTAAAGCCCTTTATATGACTTTTCAAAAAGACCCCCTCCATACTAGTAAAGTACAAACAGGAGGCCTCCCTGCAAGCTGAAGTAGGCTCACAAAAGAAGGTTAGCCTTAGAAAACAGCTTTCTCGGTCCTCAGTCTGACACCTTTGTGCAGAGTCCAGCCTGGGAGTCTCTGTCCAGCCTGGGAGTCTCTGTCCAGCCTGGGAGTCTCTGTCCAGCCTGGGAGTCTCTGTCCAGCCTGGGAGTCTCTGTCCAGCCTGGGAGGCTCTGCCCAGCCTGGGAGGCTCTGCCCAGCCTGGGAGGCTCTGCGCAGGCTGGGAGGCTCTGCGCAGGCTGGGAGGCACCATGACTACAGCCCAGTACCATGCACAGATCATCTAGAAGAATCCACCAGTTCTTCTGAGGAGAATAGGAAAACATCCCCAACATACAGTGCTCAGGAAATCCATCTCATAGTACACACCTTCTCTTCCTTCAGCCTGTCGAGAAAGGAAGCAAAGTACAGCATTTTACATTCCTCTGCAGTAAGGTCTGCTGTACCCCTAATTCTAGGGAAACATACCAAATGATTTCCTGCAGAGTAGAACCCACTATTGCACTTTGAAACTTTATATTTAGAATACCCCTAAAAAACTGTCAACTAGCATTTCCTACCCCTCCCCATTTCCTAGATTTGTACTCTTTTCCAGAGATTAAGGATGCTCCACTCAACCCAGCACAGGGCATCTGACAACTCTCACTTAGGAATCTGGGAACCTTGACACTCTTTGGCCTTATAATAACATTCAAAACAAGTATTTTCACTTTCATGTTGTGTAATAATAATCAAATTTAAAATTCAGAGATAATCTAAGAAGTAAGAAGATTTTGGAAAAGAGTGAAAAAGTAAATGAAGGATGCCACATATAAATTCGGGAGCCTATAAGTAAATTCATCATATGTATATGTATATATGTATACATAAATATATATATGGTATATGTGAGAGGATTTATCTTTTTCACTGAACTGATCATAGCTGTATTATCATAGGTTAAAAAAAAAGTTCTACAAAGAAAGGTAGTATTCACTGAGCAGATGGAACAAATGAATGAAGGCTGAGACAAGTAATATGCAAAGTGGTCGGGAAGGTCAGGCAGTCATTTGACAAACCCAAACCTGATCTTGGGAAGTGACATGAGAATGGGAAATCCAACCAGAGGGCAGTCATGTGCTGAAATTGTGCTGTATGAACTGGCTAACTTATTATCACACACGATCAAAAGAACAACACATTCCTGACTATCAGCAGAAATCACAAGGAAATGGTTGAGTCCATGGAGATTAGGCAAGAAGGACTGTTAGTAATGGCAGATAAAGGACAAGAGAGCACAGGGAAGTCTGAAATTAAAGTTGGCCACTTTGGGTGCCACTTGTAAAGGTGGTATACTTCATGTGGCGTATTTGAATCAACAATGCACAAGAAAGCAGAACGCTAACTGTGAAAAGTCATAGGGAGAAATACAATGATTAAACATGATTAATTATCCATACAAATGCACATGAATTAGTAAAGTTTAAACAAATTAGTAAAAAATATTACCTAGAAAGAGGAGCTGAAATGTTAAACATGCATTTGACTTGAAAAAGATTTGATAAATATGAAAATGTTACACCAGAGGTACTTAAGGGTGAATAATAATTGATTAAACATGGAGCCAAATACAATACTTGAGGAGGATGGGGAAGATAAAGAATATATTTCTTAAACACCATGTCATCTAGTCAGCAGTTACTGGTTAGCTCTATCCCTTAAGGGTTTTAACTCTTAAAATGAATATACTAATAAATAAACATTAAAATTGAGCTCTATTCCATTCAGTCATCTTTTTAAATCGTGAAGTAAGCATTAAAGGTCAAGACTAATTTGTTTTCAATTAAGTATGCTATATGCTCACCAATACAAATGTCATCAGTTAACTACAAACCCGGGAGGAATAGTCATAATTAATATTTATAGACTACTTGTAAGGAATAAGTTTTGATAATCTAAGATATGAGTAATTTATCTGGTTTATAGATAGCAGCACTGAGGTAGTCTTTGTTTTTTTCTCAAGTTAAGTGTTAGAAGAGTGTTAGGAAAGGTGAACAACTAAAAATTCAAATTCAAATAATGGGCATTAAATAATGTCAGCTTCCTCTTCACTTATCACTTCTTGCAGGTATGCAGCCTACAAGCTGACTACAGAGAAACAACCATCCCAGACATGAGCACATCCCTTCGCAAGCACAACTTTTCTTTTTTAATGAGATGAAATCATCGGATCTCTTCTATTCTTAATTTCAACTGATTGCATGATAAGGTTTTACAACTGAGATGATACTTTCTGGAACATTCTATAAGGGCCCAAACCCTGCCAGTATGGCTTCCCAACAATATGCAAATCTTCATCGCTCCCATTGTCCATGTCCTTGTTCCTTGATGTCCATGAATCTATTAAATGGAAATCATCAAAAGTTGTCTCACAAAGTTCTAATAGGCTTGTGGTGAATAGCACATGTTAAGTACTTGTAATGAAACACAAAGGAAAAGTCATTTTCTTTTCCTTCTGCCATTTCTGCTATACTTCAGAAATAAAAGGCCACTGAGAATGGGCATTTTAAACAGTTCACTGTATAACAGCATTTTGTTTTTTAATATATCTAAATTTTTAGATTTAGTGGTAGGCACAACGAACTATGTAAGGACGTGTATCTTTTAAATATCAGCATCCTTCTAAAGGAACCAGTACCAAAGTACTTCTGTAGTTTAAGGGTTCTGGCTGGGTTACAAAAGAAAATAGTTGCTAAACAACTTACCATCAAATATCAAAGGATAATGAAGCATTTAAAGCGTTCTGTTTAATTGTCTCTGGCTTCATATAACTCAGTCTTTGGTTAGTACAAAGTTAGTACGTCAGGGTGGAAAAATTAATGAATTTCAGTTTTGAAATTAAACACAGTGCATAGCTAATCAAAGAATGGAAGCCTGGGTTTTTCTCTTTAGGATGCTATCTGTAGCTTGCAGGCTATTAAAGCTATTTCCGTGTGCCTTTTTCTCCTTTGTGCCTACGTCACCGATTTAAGGTATTTATTTATTTAATTTTAGAACGAAAGAAAGGATTGTGTGGAGACGTTGCTAACCAAGAAGTAGGGCTAGAGAAAGATTAATGTGGGAATGGGAAGGGGTGGTTCCAGGGGGGCAGTGTGGTTGCGCCGGAGATCAGAAAGAACAGATTATCTCAGCACTTCCCTAGAATCTTTCTCCGCCTAAGAAATTTGGGAGAATGCGAAAAAGCAGCAGCCCAGCATTCTTGAAGGGGCGTGGCTTCTCTCAAGGGGCTGTCCAATCGAATTCCTTCGGAGGGAGCTATCCCGAGAAGATTGATGAGCGTTGCTAGGAAACAGGAGCGTCTCCCTCCCTGCTGACCCAGAGATTGTGCAGCACAAGCCTCCTCAGGGGCTCGCAATGTGCAGTTAGTTGAACCGCGTGTGGGGCAGAGCTGCGTATCGGCCTCCCGGGTTGACTCGTTCACACTGCTCCCTCTTTCGCTGTCTCCTCCAAGTGTGGCCAGCCCTTTACACTGGGACCACAGAAGAGTTCTTACTAGGGTTGAGTGTGGGTCCCTGCCCACCCGCGTGCCCTCAGCCCTAGCAGAGCTTCGAAGTTGGAGCCACCTCCCTCTCTACCTCCCCACGCCCCTTCACGCCACTGCTCCGAAATTGGCCGACCTTTGCATGCGTTGCCTAAGGGCTGCAAACCTTGAGGCAGAGAAGTCAGCAGGCAATCCAGCCAGGCTTTCCGTATTGTAACCCTCGGTCTAGGTACAGTAGCTCACTGAAGACTCTGCAGATACACCCCCTATAAACCGAGGGAAGAAGGGGGGAGGGAAAGGAAAAAGAGAATGAGAGGATGTCAGAAGGTCCGTGCCTCTCTGCCTGAGTCCCAATTAGACGCGACTGTTTCAGCCTGGCCAAGGTGAAGGAAAGTTGCTTCTGAGCCTAGGAAGTGGGTTTGGCTGCAAAGAGGAGGAGGGCGACTGGGCTCTGAAGCTCCCCTCCCTTCTGCTGAAGACCACTGGGTCCCCTTCTTGCCAACCTCCTCCCGCTCTTCTCCTCCAACCCTCCCTTTTCCCACTCCTCCTTGACTCGGAGGCCTGGATGCTGGGCCACCGGGCAGTGGTCCAACGCGCAGCCAGGCGGGGGCGGGGGCAAGGGGCACTGTGACAGGAAGCTTCGCGCACAACTTGGCCATTTCAGGGGCAAAATAAGTTCTCCCTTGGATTTAGAAAGGACAAAGGCAGCAGGCTCCCTCTTTTGTGTCGGATGAAGAGGACCAACCATGAGCTGGAGCTTGGGTGCAGGCTCACCGCCTCTGCCACCGCGGTCAGCTCCAGTTCCTGCCAGGAGTTGACGGTACGAGGTAAGAAGCCCAGAGGGGGACGTGTCCCTCTGGAGGGCGCCCAGCGAGGGTGCAGGAGCTCGGGTACCGCGTGGGGCAGGCAAAGCGGGGAAAGTTGAGGCAGAGCATGGACCGGTCTCTACATATCTGCCAGGGATGGAAAAACGTGGGTCACAGGAGCGATGTGGGTGTGCGTGAGAGAGAGTTTGTGTGTGCGCGCGCTACTGTCCCTCCAGGAAGAGGCCAATTTCGGAGCATAGATCTGTGATCAGGGAGCGAGAGATACAGGGACTAATTAGAGAGACAGGTCTCATTCGCCAACCGCCTCCATCCAGCTCTAAGCTGAGCTCAAGATTCCTTTGCTTGGGGGCTTATAAGGCTTTGTGCACAGGAGCCGTGTGATGAGCATTTGACACGCTGGTAGCTCCATGTGGGTGTGGAGGTTGCCAGGCGAGGTTGGTAGCAGTCAGCAGGACCCCTGAGCTACCAGAATGAGCTCCGCAGACAGGGGCAAACAGGGGTTCACACACCCGCAAGCATGCTTGGAAATTACCCCTAACTTGCTACCCTTTGCTCTTTTTTACTTAAGGGGGAAAGAGAGAACCAGACTCAAAGCCTATCTCACCATTGATCCTGTTCCATTTTCTTATCTGACAGTGAGATAACTCAGAGAGGGCGGGAGACCCGCGGTCCAAAAATAGACCAGGTGATATATCCAGTAAGCTGATTTCTTCGGAATTTCACTTAGATCTCCTTCTAGTTCCCCCAAGAGGTAACCAGCTTGCAAGTCTCTCTTCAGGATGAGACAGTCTGAAGGGGTGAACACCTTCGTCCAAAATATCTTAGAGTACTGCAAATTCTGTAAACAAATAATACACTTTTTCTCAAGATGTGTGGTCACCAATTCAACTAATTTATTTGTAGGATAGTTCTACTCTTATTCGAATAGTAATAGATATGTTTATGAATACCCTGAATGTACACATACCCAATGCATGCCCAATGTAATCACACATTGGTGCATTGCAAGTTCATATGCTTGTGACTTGAGATTAGTATCGTCAGCCCCCCAACCAGTGGGTTAGAGTTTCCTTGCTTGAATTTCTGTGTGCTCCCAGCCCCCAGAACTGTCGTTCATTTGACTACTTTGTTCAGGAGTGGGGATGGGGAATACCATCCCTTTGGACATATTCATTACCTGTCTCGGTTTCTAAATTGGCTTTGGTTTATCTCATCACAGTCTGAGGTTGTTATTTGAATAGTATTGTGTGTATAAGTGTATTGGATATCAGCATTACACAAAACATTCAGTTTCCATTACATTAGATGCCTGTGGATAACATCCCTACCAAAGATATTGAGGAAACTGATTCTATACTGTTATTTACCTTTTTTGTAAAAATACTCCAATATAATTTGACAACCTGAAAGCTAATGTGCAGCAGACCTTATTAAGGTGGCATTTTCCACACTGTAATAGCAATGCCTTGCTTTTATGAAGATTGCTCCACACCTGTAGGTTTGAGCTGTCCACACCTTTAGGTTCTGATTTCCCATAAGACATACACAGATATTTCAAATAGGCATGCCCTGGGCTATCTTGATTTATATGCTAAGTGATACTTGAAGTGCTCATGATACCAAATGACTCAAGAAGAAATTGTGAGATGTATTCTAGCACATATGAAACAAAGAAAACTGTATTTACATTCATAGGGTCTAAAACATTATGACAAGAAAACTTTGTAATGTTAAGTCCAACCTCACTCACCCCCTCCCCTGAAAATGGTGTGAACATCTACCTCTGTAAAGTATATCATTACCAATATAATGTGCAAGTTAATTCATAAACTTGTCAGTGCATAAAGGAAAGATCTGCTTTTCTATTGAAAGTGCATAGTGTTTTTCAGTTATATGTCACCAGTTGATTAAGAAAATGTGTGGATAGGCAACAGATTTTATAAATAATAAAAATACATGCTATGTGACTCACTCATGTGTGTATGATGGCCATATTTTAAAAGTGATAGTACACAGATGGGAAAAAAGTGTATCTTGTTACTTATTTCCATATCGCCTAACATCAACAGTACTTCTTTGATTTCATGTCGTTGCAATTAAAATTGGTGAGCTGAACAAATGCAAAGATAGCAGAAAAAGAAGTGTTCTTTTTTTTTCTTCATTGTACCTAGTTGAGTGAAAGATCCAGAGCATCAAAAGGTCACCTGTTTCACTTCTCTGCTTCATGACAGGGGATCAATCAGAAAGAGTCTAGGATTCTCTAGTCCTGTAAGATTCACAGCAGTAATAATTTACAACTGCCCTAGGAATGTTCTCCTCCTCTTTCAACTCTATCTTTATTTTCAACTTAAATGATCCCTTCTTTGTGTCCGTTCTTGCAATCATAAGTTCTGAAATCTTTGGAGGGTTCTAGCAAGTAGCTATCAAGATGTAGTCTACTTGCATAGGGATAAATAATTCATTTTGTTTTCTGTACTCAGCATCATATCAAGAAGACATTAAGATGAAGAAAAATTTCCTAACTTCTTTGCCTAAAACAGAAGGGCACAGGTTACATTTCTACGTGGTGGAATATGATCAGAGCTTTAGGGTTAAGACTTGTCTTCTGCAGAGGCAATTCCTAAAAGGAGGCTGATGTTTACACACATTTGTCTCTCTGTTCAGTTTTATGCTGAGTTGATTGGTTCATTTCCATTTCTTTTGAGAGTCTGCTAAATGCACCCAATTCTACATAGATGAATTTTGTTGAAATTGCTTTCGAGAATCAGTGTAAAGGATTATTTACTGAGACTAAGCACACAAAATGAATATAATCATAGCAACCGAGACCACACAAACCATTAGGTCATCTTCCTCCTGCCATGTCTAATGTAGTCTAGGTCGCTACAGAATTACTGGATTTTGGAGTGCTTTAGTCCACTTGATTTTTAATGGCTCATGAAATGATTTCTTCCAGATTTTTGAAACACTGTTTCATATTGTTCTCTCTATTAAGAATTTTGTGATATTTGGCCTAATTCTTCCATGACTGTGATTTACCTTATTACTAACTCTTTGTCATTTATTCCTCTGGGCTACTTCATCCTCTTGTATAATTTAGCATCATAATTCAACATTTATACAGGACTTGAAAAATACATGATTACATAAGAGAACACATGGTGCCAATTTTATATCTACATCTTTGCTCAATAATATATAGGCATTGGGTCATATACAGGTATATGTGTGACTATATGTCATCACAATTTATCTGACTAATGTAAGAGAGGGGAAATTGCCTTTCCTGACATTAGTGACCTGTGTGAGAATGCAGATAATCTTTCCTAACTCATGTTCTGAGTGGTTGCACACTTATGAGAAATTTTCATTGCAAATTTGTTGTCAACAGAGCCCTTTCACCACCCACACTACAAGGGAGTTTTGTGACACTCTGATCAGATGCTCCAATGAGTCCAAGAAGCTGTTGTCATGTAAATCCCAATACTGAAATGAAAGTGATTTCCATAATTAATAAAATGTGCTAAGAATGTAATAGTGTATATAAGTTAGCTGAGTGTGAACTCAGCAAAACAATTCTGTTAGAATTTTCAGTGGCCCCTTCAAATTGATACAAACTGAAAAGACCAGAATTAAGAACACATTATTCAGTGTTCTGTATCATGAAAAGTAAGCTCACATCATGCATATATCAACATAAAATATATTTAGGCTTATATGGAGGAACCATATGTGAAGGTTACTTTAAAAATAAAAAGCCTGAAATAACCACAAGGGGAAAAAACAGGATTTTGTTTTGTTCATTTAAAATCTGGTTCCAAGACATCCTTGTGTAGGCTTCTATGAGATTCTCCAGAAAATATCTCGGTAGCCTCACCCTCCCACTCAATTGTCTCTCCCAGTCCCAGGCATTGAAATGCAAGCTTTGCTAGACAGTAGAGGTACACTTGGCAAATGCAGACAGTGCTGACTCTGAGTGAGGTGAATCAGCAGCCAAAAGCACGTGTGCTGCTGTCTTTCCACATCGCTGGGCATTAGAGTGTACACAGAAACATCCGTGCAGACTGTGAAAACGATGGGGAGAAGGGCCATTATAAAACTAACTCTACTTTTAAGGGAATTGAGTTGGATTGCATAGAACAAACAATTTTTAAGTCAGTATTGTCCCTTCGGAAGTCCTAAAGTGTTTTTTATAGTGCCATTCATCACATAATTGTGAGTACCCTCAAAATGATTTTCCTTCGAAACAAAGGGAAAATCAATTTTCTTGGTACAGAAAAAGTAGGCCATTAATATATTTGTGATTTCACCCTGGAACCAGAGAGGCAATCTCAGAAGTGACACTCTACATAGACTTTATTTTTTATCACATTAGCAGTCCCGTTATAAAAGTGGAAAACTGCACATTGTTCTTTAAGTATACAAATACACTTAGAAAATGTTCACATATAATCTATGCAAAGTCTACACCAAGACAGCATGTTTCAAAACATAGCTACATATGTAGATGGTAGGTCCTCAGAAAGCATAAGCAGTTTTCATGTTTAGTTCCTTGTCAGAATGTAATCTTATTATCATTGTCTTTTGTTGTTTTTATTGTTAGTTTGTTGTCAGAGAGAGAGAGAGAGAGAGAGAGAGAGAGAGAGAGAGAGAGAGAGAGAGAGAGAGAGAGAGAGAGAGAGAGAGAGGGTCATTTGGACAAGCATATATATTCACCAAACATAGAAGTTTGAAAATCTAGATGCACGTTTTCAAAAATTTACAACCAGTATATACAGCACTGGAATACTAAGATAACAATTTCAAAACCAGTGACAAATTTAACAGCATATGGAATATTTTTTAAAAATATTCTATTAAGAGAAAGAATACAACCAGAGAAGTCAACTATTAGCAAAACAACTGATGAAAAGGTATTTATTAGCACCTGTTAAGAACAAAATAAGATTTAGAGTATGTAGTGAGAGCAAAAACGTGCTATATACAAAAACTCATAAGCA